TCTACGTCCTCGATTACCATTCGCAACACCACCGGCAACACACTCTGAATCCGCCACTGGGCAAAAAGTGTATTAATTATTATTGTCTCCCTGTCAATTCAAGAGTTATTTTTAAGACTTATTCTCATTTCATATAAAGTTTTCCATGGTTTGGCCCCCACTAATTTTATTATCTGCATCACTCTGTAGCAAGGGCTATGTTCCAAACACAATTCCCTCCATTCCATGTGTTAGCTGCGACAATTCGCCCTTGAATCATTCCAAAAAAACTGGCTTCACGTCTTTTAAATACTTTCCCCCCTGATCTCTGGAATAAACTTTCCCTGGATGTTCAAACTACTCCGTCGGTTAAAACATTCCTCTCCTCTTTCTCAACATTTTGATTATTTTTTCTTTTCCCGTTCTTTTCTTTTGACTTATTTCTGGCACTTATTACTTATACCTGGCATTTATTACTTCATTATCAAATTATCAACTTGACACTTTACTAAGTAGCCTAATTAATATAGAGGGTCGGAATGGCTAGGGGTGGCGCCAGGATTTGCCCAACGGGGGTGCCGAGGTCCCCGACGGGGTTGGGGGGAGATGTCCCCAACGAGGGGGAAGATGTCCCTCACGAGAACAAAAGTGGTCGTGGTCGAGCGGCGCTTAAAATGTTTCGAAAGTGGCGCAGCAGGGGGTGGGGGGTGAAGCCCCGGAAATTTTGGGGTTTCAAAGGCTTATTTAATCGATTTTATAATTTACTAATATGTGCAAAATACATATAATTTTTTTTTTCTCTCCGACGAATTGTGGTTTTTGTGCAACCTACCCACCCCCCCCCCGCTGGCGCCACCCCTGGGAATGACTACAATCAATGCAAACCTACAATAGATTAACCATGCGAAAGCTTAATAGACTCAGTAACAACCTGATAATAGGCCTAATTGTCTTATCTGGCAGTTCCCGTTATGATGCTCCGTTTTTCACCTTTATGTTTCTTGAAAAGCGTAGGTGAGCTGTCGTGACAAAATTGAGTCTTGTGGTACAAAACATGAAAGTGAGTTATTGATATTATTAGATAGTTGACTATAAAAGCTCTATTTTGGTCTTTGAATCATGCTCTTATGTTGAGTAAAACTGGAGTATCAGTTCAAGGTGTCTAAAAACATGTGTAAGAAAATGTGTAAGAAAATTTACGAAATGTGCCTTAAAAACACCTTTAGCGTTAGGTAACTCAACTCAAAACATTTGCTACTTTGAAATATACATATTAAACTTAGAAGAAATATTTAAATTCCATTTTTTGGACACAAAATGTCAGATATTCTTGATCTCAAATTGACCTGGCGTAGGCCTACCACAAAGACTCATTTTGTCACGACACCTCAAGCCTCTAAGGTATGCGCTCTACATGCACAATTATAATAAGTATTATAATTTTCATTGGTTCATTAATTTTAGCACACATGAAAGAAGCGTGAAAGAAGTGTAAATAGTACAGGGTCGTAGGTATTAAAATAGGCTCCAGTTCGCAATAACGTTTTTCCAACTCAGAATTTTATACTGAACAAGAAAAACTTTGGTGCCAATTTTTTTCGAGAAGGTCGCCATCTTGGGAAGAAAGATGGCGGACGCATCTGGTCAAACATATTATTATGTGGTATCATTAGAAAGGAAATCATGCACTGAATATTTTTCCAATTACACTAATATGAATAAATCCACAGAAACGGAGATATTCGCCATTTAACACGTCATTGTCTGCTGCCCTCTATTGGTGAAAATTTTATTTTTATTGTTGTTTGGATGAAATTGGCTGGTTTTCTTGACTCTAATACTGATATTTGTAACTAATTTGATACATTGATAAACAAATTCCATTTGTCTTCATGTGTATTTTTTTTTCATTAAAAAAAGTCAATAACCATATTATTTGTTCATTGCCAGTGCAAGTTTCCTATCAATATATATGTTCATGTTAATACAGCTGCAATATTGGTATTTTGAAGTCCAAGCAAAAACAAAATCGTTTAGCAGAAATACCGTATTTATTGGAATAAACACCCATGGACTTTTATTGTTAAAGGGTTTTGAGTGGGCATTTATTTGAGAGAGGCGTTTATTATTATTATTATTATTATTATTATATGCCCTTAAATTTCACTACAACACATAATTACTATCAAAATGCAAGAAAAAATGTAATTCTTCTGGAGTAGAAAATCAATAGAATCTGTTGACAATAATGTTGCTTTGTTAAGTCATTTGGGTGGGTGGGGAGTTGATTAAGGCTTTTATTCCAAATGAGGCTCTAAAGGGGATGTTTATTCAAATAAATACGGTAACAGATTTGTCTATGATAAACATAGAATAAGCAGTGACGTCACGCTCGAGCGCTGATGGGGGCGGAGCGCCAGGGCCCAAGGCACGAGTGGCCCCGACATTATAATTTGAAAAAATATATATAATATAAACTATAATACCATAGTTTCATTCAGTGGGGCCCGACAATTTTAAACAATAAAAGCTGGGTTCTGATATTTGACATTTCTGATTTTGTGATGAATTTGCTTTGCAATGTATTGTTTCTCACAAAAATATTTTTCGTATTTATTTACACCTACATAGAGTAGGCCTACTGTAGGCCTTTACCAGTTCCGAACGTTGGCCTACGTAATCTATGTTGGTTTTGTCATAATTGTCTGAAATATTTCATCAGTCATGAACATTCTAGGTTCTCTGTTATCTCAGTTAACAGTTCATAAATAACATAAACCCTGAGCGCAAAAGCTCCCTCGGACCCCCAGAGGTACCCCTGGACTCCGACCGCGGGTCCTCGCGTCCGATTGATCCGCAATAACAGTCAGCTCCAGGGCGGGCCCCACAAACTCCGTAACGCCACTGAAAATAGCACAACAGCATTGTTTTGTTCAATCTCTTATAATAACATAAAAAAAGTCGTAATTACATATGTTTTCCTCTAAGCAATGCATGAAAATGAAGTGTTGACCCATCTTTGTTACTATCTCATGTTCTAATGTTTCAACTTCTTCTAATGTTTCAACTTCCCCCCCCCCCCTTTTTGCTTGATGATTCACCCAACTTGGCTGCCAGTTCAATGACTGTACCGAAGTTCAATGCCTGGCAGGCCCGTAGGCAGGAGTTTTGATGGGTCGGTGCGTTTTGCAACCGAAGTGGACCTTATGATGGGCGAATGCCTAAGGATCCCCGCGAGGGTGGGGCGAATCTTCGGGAAGCACAAATTAGCATTTTGAGGGCCTTTTTTAATGGATTTCTAAAATCCATAATTTGTAATATCGTCCTATTTAAATTTTCATTCATTTGAGTATGCTATTGACCTACAGTAAAGCAGGAGAAATAGAGAGTGGGGTGAAGGGAGAAACTTGCACAGACAGATGGTCAATATCACCTCAGCCCCACCATGGTTGGGGCTGAGGTAAGAAAATTTATGATTATGGCACCTCAAAGTGGTCCGGAAATGGCACTCTCAGACAAACTTTAATTATGATTTTTTTTTCCCACTTTTATAATTTTAGGGGGGTGGGCTCTTCCCCCTTGAATCTATCACTGTGAAATTGTAATTTTTCATGTCCTTTACATCTGATGCCTATCACTGGAGCTAATAATTTCCAACAGGTTTCGTAGCACATTTTAAAAATCAACGGGTAGAAGAGCCGGCAAAAAATGTAATGCATACTATAGCATTTCGCGATAATTAGGAACGATTTTAGTGAAATAATAGGTTTTAAAAAGTGGACTTTTTGAAATTTGGTATTCCAGGGGCTTCCTGGAGGGGGTTTGTGAGAAAAGCGACAAAGTAGCATTTTGAGGGTCTTATTAGATTTCTCAAACACATAATTCATATATTTCATTTAAATCTTCATTAATTTTGGTGTTTTTGGGACCTGAAAAAGTAACGTTATTACCGGTATGTCCTGTACATCTGCAGGCCTATAGATAACATTCTTCATATTTATATAGATCAATCTGCAATAACAGGAGACGATCAATTTCTAACAAATTTCATACCACATTAAAAATCAACGGTTAGATACTACTGGCAAATATATAATGCAATGCTTCCCATGCTATAGCATTTTGTGATAATTAGGAACGATTTTGTGAAATCATAGGTTATTTTAAATAGTGGACCTTTTGGAATTTGGGAGGTGCGTCCGCTACCTGCACCTCCCCTCCCTACGGGCCTTGTTGACAATTCTTGGTATGCCGCTAGTGAAGGCTAAATTGATTCTTGAAACGGGATAAGGCCGGCTGACAATTATCGTTTGTATATTTCATCTACATTTTTGGATAGGCCTATTAGTGCAGCCCATTTCATAAAGTAAAGTAGGCCTGTGTAGCATGTGATTAAGGGGTTCGGGTGCGGTGTGGGGCCGTGTGCTGGGTATCGAGGATTGAGTTTGAATAAACCTTTATGATACATCTTGGAGTTCAAAATAACGTGAATATAGTTACCATAAAAAGGCAAACGTGCGTGATGGAAGAGGTTTAGGTCGCTATATAATTATATTTTGTAAAGTGTGGTTTGTTAAAATAGTAGGCCTACTGTAAGACTCGGAGATTTTTTGAATGTGGAAGTTTGCCGAACATTAAAAACCCCCTACAGGTTCACTAGGGGCCTACGGTCATCATCATATGTGTCCATACCCTCTCTCTCTCTCTCTCTCTCTCCTCCAAACAGAAGCTTCCCCAATTAAACATGGGACCCCAGTTTGAAAAAGGTTAATGTTCAGAATTTTTAACACAAGGTGAAATAGGGCCTACATATTTTCAAGACCCAGGTAGAGTGTACTAGGCTGTCACTGAGCGTCCAGATTTTAATCATACTGTGATTACTTAGTAATTGTACATGTTATTTCGAAAAGTAAACATCAATGAAATTCAGTTTTGTAATTGCGAATGGGACGTGTGATAAGGCCAAGTATATTTATTTTAATAATTATTAAAAATATGAAAATAGCATAGGGGGCGCATTATGATGACGTCACGAATAGAAATATCTAGAAAAAAACCACGCCGTGAAGTCAAGTGGAATGATACGGTCAGCCGCCGGAACATTGTTTATTCGCCGGTATAAATATTAACTTCTAGAAAATTCGGTAAGCCTTAAAAAATCGGTATTAAATAATTCTTACTGCCGATTTGTCTGTCCTGCAGACGTGAATAAGTTGTATGTAAATAAGTTAAATAGGTCATTTTCTTGATATACTTTTTGTATTGATTCCTAGGCCGTATGAAGATCGAAGAGCCGATACTCATCCATTGATCTCTCCTTCTGCTGTGCGTGACGGTTTTATTTAGGTGTGAAGAAGACTCGTGGCTAGAAATAGATTAATTTTTTTGAAAGCTGAGGCAGCGTACAAAGTAATATAAAATGTCTGTAGTTGGTTTTGATGTTGGCAATCAGTCGTGCTACATTGCTGTTGCACGAGGTGGTGGTATTGAGACAATAGCAAACGAATACAGCGACAGATTAACACCGTAAGTACTATTCCTACTAGGCTAGTAGACTACAGAGAAGAGTCAAGAAAAATATTTTTTGAAGCTCTCCAGGCCTCTTCAACTAGCCTAGGTTAGGTAGCCCAGCTACTCTTTATCTACAAGGCCTAGGATCATGAGATTTCCTATCACATCAATCAGTCAATTCAATAAATATAATACTTCCTTCTCTTCTTAATTACTTAAATCCATGCTCACTGAAAATTTTTCTGATTTAGGCCTGGAAGTGAAACCAAGAATTAATGGCACATTTTTTCCATTGTTCCATCATACTAATTGGTAATTGTTAGCTATTAGGCCCCATAAAAAATTATTATATTAGTTTATCACCCTATCAAAAAATAAAAACTGATGAAGGAGGGAGCTTTTTATTTTTTTTTGCTAACCCTGCCCCCATTTTACCAATGATCACAAGTAAATCAATGGTTAGGGACACATAGAAAAAGTCATAAGAGTGGAATTAAATTTATATTTAAAAAAGATGTTTTTGTTGTACCAGTAAACATATTAGCAAGAAATCCTGAGCTTTTCAAGTGAAAAAAAGATGGAAAAAGGACCGTTTTAAATAAAAATATAGTTGATTAGAAAAAAAGAAAAAAATATAAGATTTTCCCCAAAAGTGATGAGGGAGCGGGTGATAAACTAATAATTTTTTTTTATGGGGCCTTGAAATACTGTACATTGCTTATTGAAATTAATTCCCAATTAGAAGTTCAAAGTGTTTTTTTAATTACAGATCAATAGTATCATTTGGAGACAAGCAACGAATTATAGGGACAGCGGCTAAAACCCAAGTAAGTAATGCATTGTACGACTGTTGCACAACGAATCTAATTCCGCTTCTGGTGAGAGCTATGAGACGCGACGCTGCCTGCTGATTGCCGGTGGTAGTCTGAACCGATTGATTAAAGTCAGGCTCCGGAGGAAAAAAATTTTTTGATATGTTGTAGAACTGATTTTTCTAAGACAGAAAAAAGTTGTTTGACGAAAAACTGGTGAACGGTGAATGAGATACAGATTTTTTAATATTTAAAAACTGGGGGAAAAAGGGGCGTAACTGCCCATTTTTACACCTTATTCCCCCAGTTTTTAAATATTAAAAAACCTGTATCTCATTCACCGTTCCCCAGTTTTTCGTCAAACAACTTTTTTCTGTCTAACTAAGTCACTATTTGCAATTTGTGACATAATGTAAATTTCCCTGCAGCAATTTTTTTTATGAACTAATGTCTCCATTGTACACTAATGTTTTAATAGTGCATTGAAAACTGATATTAGTTACCAGCAAATTTTAATAGGCACTTTCAGACGGTAAAAATGCTTTTTCAAAGGAGTGTGATCTGCTTCTTCTCTAGCAGGGGGTCCAGTATCTCCGAACAGGTGTCCTGTGGCACTCTGGACTCCTGCTGCCACTGGAGAGGTCAAAATGTTTAAACAGACAACTTGATCACTTGTGTTTCACCTCCTACAGGTTATATCAAACGCCAAGAATACTGCAACAAACTTCAAGAAGTTACTGGCTCAGAAATTTTCAGATCCGTTTGTGCAACTGGAGAAAAAATGGTTGCCGTACGAATTAGTAGAAATGACAGACGAAAGTGTTGGTATAAAGGTAAAAACGTACTACTTTTATTATAAAGACGTCATATCCTGTCGCGTTAAATTTAAATTTATTATTAAAAAGTATTGCAATAATCTTTATTTTTAACAATAATTTAAACAAATGCCAGAAGAAACTTGTCTGAACTGGTACATCACTTTGCCCCCCCTCCCCCCTCCCCCGGTTGCTTCACTTTTTTCTGTACAGTGATTGACTGATAAACAATCTAGCTATTATTAGGAGATCAGTGGTTTGAACCCAGGACAATGGGATTGACAGGCAAACATCTGAACTACCAAGATTTTCAATCCCATTGAAGTCAGGTAGTTGGAAATTCAGTGCTTAACCCTCTCATGTTTTTTTTTCTCATACAGATGCAATACATGGGCCAACCTATAGAGATGAGACCTGAACAAGTATTTGCAATTCTTCTAACAAAACTAAAACACTCAACTGAGGCTGCCCTGGGAACCAAAGTCGTTGACTGTGTTATTTCAGTAAGTGCAGTGTATATTACCTTATTAAATTAATGTTATATACTTTATTTCAAACTTTCTTAGTTTGAGTTATTGTATAAAAAACAACATCAACAAATTTATGAAACTTTTTAATCACTGAATATTTTAATTGCAGCTAAAAATTTGTGGCGATTTATTGCATGATGTGCTATCATGCTGAATTTTCAGTATATTCCAAAATACTTGCGAAAAAATTCTTGTGATTTACTGGTAGGAATCGAACCCACAACCTTGAAAATAACTAGCCTGGTGCCTTGATGCTAGACCACCGAGCTTGCGGTTAGTATCCGATCCCCAAGGAGCAGCCGGTACAGCAATGCTATAATATTATTGAATAGACGACACAATAATACTGATCAACTGCAAGTGTTACAATTTCGGTAACTGATAGGCATCCCATCTTCCCCCTTCCCTGTTTTTCCACATTTTGTTCAGTTACCATTAGCATTCTAAGTTTTATTTTTGACTATTTAATTTTTTTAATTTTTCATATAATCGCTTTTTTCGCCCCGTATCCCTTGCCTTTCTTTTTCATTTTTGCAATGACAATAATCTGACAAATTTGATTGAGGTTACTGCTCTTTGTTATCTAAGCAATTCTTTGTAATCAATGACACATCTGAACGCTTAGTGTTGATTTTAGGTCAAAACGTAGGATATGACCTAAAGTTTTCAATTATGATTGCCTGATATCTTTGGTATTTCTTTTGTGTTTTGAGGTGGTTTTTAACAAGATGAATGCTTTTTGTAATCTTAGCAATTCTCAGTAACTTAGTGACAAAGCTAATCTGAATGTTGATTTTAGGTTGACCAGGCGATAAGACTAATAACTTTTAAGTATGATCATCTCTCATTCTTTTTTTGGGGGTGTTTGAGTTTGTTTTCTGTTGATTAATAATTGGTAAATGTGACATGATTTCAAAACCATATCACAGGTCATAATCCTCCCATTGTTGCTGTTTTTCTAGGTTGGACAGACTGTGACCCCTCAGGGATTCTGCATATTCAATCTGTTGTGACATTTTTTCATATTTTTTATTTTTGTCTTTTTTATTTGTGTATTTGTATGTTTAAATATTTTAATTATTTTATGATGTGATGCAAATAGAAGCTTTTTCAAGCTTTATGCTCTGTACAAGTGTAACATTTTATTATTATTATTATTGTTATTATTATTATCATTGTCATTATTATTATCATTGTCATTATTATTATTATCATTATTATTATTATTATTATTATTATTATTGTCATTATCATTATTATTATTATTATTATTATTATTATTATTATTATTATTATTATTATTTTTAATTCAAATAGAATTCAATTTCTTATTGACCCTGAATATCAGGTACCCACTAAAAAATGTAAGTAACCATTATATCCCACAACTTTAGAGACAGGTGCATGGCTTATAAACTATTTGTTTATTTTTTGTAGGTACCTCAGTATTTTACTGACGCTGAGCGACGTGCAGTATTGACGGCAAGTAGTATTGCTGGCCTGAATTGCATGAAAGTAATGAATGACTCGACAGCAGGTAAGGTAGCCTCAATCTGATTGGTCCAATCACCAACATGAGTTAGGTGCTATCTGATTGGCCCATTCAATATCAACATGCTGCAAACTCCCGCTAGGTTATATTATATAATAGCAATACCGGTTGAATGAATGACTCGACTGCGGATAAAGTAGCTGCTATCCGATTGGTCTATTCACCAACAACTTGGGTTGGCTTCTATCCAATTGGTCCATTCAATATATTCACTTCAGGTTATGGTATGTATAATAGAATCAGTTGAATGAGAGTAATGAATGACTCGACTACAGATAAGTTAGCTGTTATCTGATTGGCCCATTCAGTATCAACATATGAGGTAGCTTCTTTTTGATTGGTCCATCCTACATTAACTGTTTAACACTCTACAACACAAAGTAAAATATCAGAATAATAGGTTTATTCAATGTTGTTTTCTTTTTTGTTGATCCAAAAATATTGCTAATACGTTTACTTACAGGACGTTTCACTGAAAAAACAAACAAAAAGAGAACAACATTGAATATATTTAGTGGATCCAGATGAATTATTTCAATGAATGAATTCATTGTTAAAAATTATCAAGCTGAACTGGGAGAGTGTTAAAATTTAATGACTTTTCAGCTAACCATGGATATTGTTGCTAAGATACCACAAAATGATGTGTATATATTATATGGGACAAATGCATATTCCAGATTATGATTATCTTCTGTTTTTTTCCCAAACACAATAAAAATAATTCTAATCTCCAAGTTGATTTATATTGTTTAATTGTTGTTTAATTGTTTATATTTTTCATATAATCGCTTTTTTTTTTTCTCCACAGTATCCCTTGCCTATGGGATCTACAAACAGGATTTACCAGCTCCAGAGGAAAAGCCAAGGAATGTTGTGTTTGTAGACATGGGGAATTCATCTCTGCAGGCTTCGGTCTGTGCCTTCAACAAAGGCAAATTAAAGGTAGGCAATTATGCATTCCCCCACCCCCAAGGAATATTTCCACCGACTTTCCTTCCCGCTTGAAAATTTTCAAAGCAAAAAAAATCATATTCAAGTGGTTAAATATCACCTTAAATCACATACTTTGCGAGTTAGCACTCACTCACCTAAACAACAAGGTCACCCCTCCCACACTTAAACTTCACACCCCCATTAGTACCCCTCCCCTTTAAAAACTAAAGATTACAATAATATTCCCTTGATAAAACACTTTTCCTGTATATGAATGCAGGGTTGTTGTTAGTAAAAATTACAGCAGGTAAAAAAGATTTTACAGCAGGTAACTTGCAAATGGACACCGAGTACACCCACTTCGGCCGGGGGTCCTGGAAGCTCTAGGGTCTAGATGCTCTCTGATGCCATTAGAGCACTTTTAGAGCACTAAATAATTAC